CTCTCTCTCTCTCTCTCTCTCTCTCTCTCTCTCTCTCTCTGATATTGGGAAAGGGCTTTACATAAGTTGGACAACTTGTGCCCAATCCCTTTTGTATATTAGATGCAAATAAAAATATGTTTAAATAAAAAAAAGTTAACTCTATGTACGGGAGTTGTTTGGTGCTTTGCCTGCAGAGGGACAGGGACTCTTAAAAGAATGGAATAGGGTACATTTTTTTTTACTGATTTGTTAAACTTAATTTCTTGATGTAAAGTGTTAAATCAATGCACATACACGTATAATTTATACTTAGTCGTTTAAACGTTTGCCCAAAGTGTGTTCCGTGCAATGTCTCTAAGCGGACCAGAAGTTACATGTAACATTGTCTGTGACTCGCCACAAAGTTTACAATTTCTGTAAGTCTTTACATTGACCCGTGCTACAATGTACTTTCCACGGTACAGCGTGTGTTCCAGTGTATATACCTGTACATCTGTAACATGTCTGAATCAATGAGAATCGTACTCGAGGTTAACATTCTCTGTACACATCTTTTGTCTGACCCGAGCTGTAAATACACGGCACAATGTCCCTGTTATATGTCTTAACTAAAGAAAAAACATTAGAAGTTTACAGTTGGTTTCTGTTACTCGTCACTTTAATGAAAATCTGACTCAGATTTAAAATTATCTCTTTAACTGATAGGACCGAACAGAATAATAATGTGCATAAACGTCAGACAAAATGAAATACATGAACATAGCACGCTGCATGCATATTCCTTTTGACGTTCAAGTGATAAAAATCGGATATAAGAAAATCTTGACGTGATATATATATGTTTCTGTAGACGATAGGACAGAAGTATTGGACAGATGCCTTTTATCTGTCAAATATATCAAATTCCACATATTTTTTTGTTTTGAAAATGACAACAAACAGGCTAGTTCTGTCTGTACAATTTGCTAGGTGAATACTTACTATACTGATTCTCTACGCTCGACAATCGACATACATCTCTCAGACAAAATTACCTTATATGTATACAAAATTATCAACAGCCAGCGATATATCACAGCATCTTTCTTTTCAATGATTTGTTGAGGGTTTCACATATCCTCGCTAGGGCTCTAACATTATATGACTGCAGGTGAAAGAATCACTAAAAAGTCACTTAAAAGTCATTCTACAGCGCCGTTTCGCTGCTGAGTCACTATACAGCGTCGTCTCACTGTAAGTCACCATATAGCGTCGTCTTACTGAAAAGTCACTTTATAGCGCCATCTCACTGAAAAATCACTTTATAACGCCGTTTCGCTGAAAAATAGTTTTATAGCGCTGTCTCACTTAATAATCGTTGCAAAGCCTGTCTCACTGAAAAGTAACTTTATGGCACTATCTCACTTAAAATCGCTTCATAGCGCCGTCTCGCTAAAAAAACAGTTTTATAATGTTGTTGCAATGAAAAGTCACTGTATAGCCTGTCTCACTGAAAGTCACGTTATAGCCTGTCTCACTGAAAGTCACGTTATAGCCTGTCTCACCGAAAGTCATGTTATAGCCTGGTACTGAAAAGTAACTTTATAGCCTGTCTCACTGAAAATAGCCTGTCTCACTGAAAAGTAACTTTATAGCCTGTCTCACTGAAAAGTCACTATATAGTCTGTCTCACTGAAAAGTCACTTTATAGCGCCGTCTCGCTGGGAAAAAAAAGATTTACAGTGCTGTATCAATGAAAAGTCACTTGATATCCTGTCTCGATGAAAAAGTTACTTTATAGCCTGTCTCGCTGAAAAGTCACTTTATAGCCTGTTTCGCTGAAAAGTCACTTTATAGCCTGTATCGCTGACATTTACTTTAAAAACACAGACATACACTATGTAAAATGAATTCGACATTCAACTATAAATGCATGTGTTAAATTACCAAAACATCGTTATCATTGAAAGTCACTTTATAGCCCGGTCTCACTGAAAAGTCATTTTAAAGGGCCGTCTCATTGAAAAGTCACTTTACAGCGCCGTCTCACTGAAAAGTCACTTTATAACGCGGTTCACTGTAAAGTCACTTTAAAGGGTCGTCTCACTGAAAAGTCACTTTATAGCGCCGTCTCATTGAAATGTCTCTTTATAGGATAGGACTCTGTAAAATTCGCAAAAAATCGATAATTTGTGAAGCAGTCGTATGTTTTAACACACATTTATTTGTATTGCATGTGGTTATACTGTATGGATATGAGAAAGCGATAAATCTTTTTTTACGGTCCATATAACACATCACTACATATATTAAGGTTTGTAATTGCTATATCAAATAATTAGTTGTTATGCTTTTATCATTAAAAAGGCGAAGCGTAAGCAAGTTTTCGAGAGAAATGTACTCCATAAGGCAGAGAGCACTGTGTCGTTACAATTGAAATGACGTCATAAAGTAAATATTGACGTAATGTTTAAAAAAAATAGTTCTAACGGGTAATTACCGACTTTCCACTTAATATTATGATACAACCAATATGGATGCTGGAAAAATGATATCATCTATTATTCTAAAATGATATTTTTCACACCTCCTGATTGGCTAGAACCGTGTCATGTGATTCCCGATAAAAATGTTATTGACCGTCTTTAGTTTTCCTTTGCTGTCTCCTTAGTTTTTGTTCTTCTTATTTCGTATTGT